TTTTTTTTTTTTTTCAGAAAAAGAAACTAAGATTCAAAGACATTTTTTAACTTGCCAAAGATAAAGATTAGCCAGGCATCTGGAAGCTGCAGTTTGAAGCCCTGGTCTGCCTTATTCCCACCTCTCCAGGATTTCTCAAACTCAGCATTATGGATTTGCAGCTGGACAGTTCCATCTGTGGGGACGGCCCTGTGCCTTGGAGAACATTTAGTCACATTCCTGGCCTCCACCCACTTGACTCGTGTATTCCACCAACCCAAGACGGGACAACCCAAAATGTCGCTAGACATTGCTAAATGTCACTGGGGTCACTTTTTCCCTTACTGAGAACTACTGCTATTGACATTGTCTTTGTGTGTGTGTGGTGTAGTGTTTTTTCATTTTAATCTGACATGAAATAATAAGGTCCTAAGCAAAGAGATGCATACCATAAATATTCTCTTTCCAAATACTACATACATGGATGGGCAAGGACCAGTCGTCTTATCTTTGACCCAGGAAAAACAAAGATGAAACAATGGCACAGGGGAATCAAGGAAGAACTTGAGCTCAGTGAAGGCTAATGGAAGATAAAGAGGATGAGGCAGATGACAGGAGTAATAGTGATGGGTCCTGGAAAGGAAGGGATCCATCGAGCATGTCGTTAGTGAGAGCACACAGTGGCTTCTGTGGGTCATTAGTGAGAGCGCACAGGGGCTTCTGTGGGTCATTACTGAGAGCGCACAGTGGCTTCTGTGGTCATTAGTGAGAGCACACAGTGGCTTCTGTGGTCATTAGTGAGAGCCATTAGTGAGAGCGCACAGTGGCTTCTGCAGGACACGACTGTGGGTTTTAGTTTCTGGCCAGGGCTAGGTTGCTGCAGACTTTGAGAGTACTGTTCTCAGTCCAGGAATACTGCAGCTGGGTCCATTACATGTGAGAGCAAGGAGAACTTGCAGTCCTCAGAAAACCACATGTGCATTTGGGTGAGGGCTTTCAGTACTGCCTTTAACCACATGCTCATTTTGACCCTGAGTTTAAAAATCTGTCTTGGAAATAGATCCATGAGAAATGGTGTAAGTTCTGCAGCTTTACTTGTTCATGTGGAGATATATATATATACACATACATATATATATAATTTTTTTATATCTCCTTAAGCAGACATCAAAAATAAAGCCATCTAGAATAAATGCTCTTACAGATGTGCTGTTTGGATATCTGCTAGATGACTTCCTATGTAGGGTGTACGTTTTATACTATTAAATATTAAGCATCAGTAAAACATAAACCTTATACCAGTGGTTTCCTGCGTGCCAGCCACTGCACTTCACCTGTATTAATTCTTTGAATCTTTACCTCATCCCTAGTGTTTACATCCCATTTTTCAGATTGGAAAACAGGTTCAGATAGAATAAGCAATTTTCTCAAAGTCGCTTTCATTGTAAAATACCCAAGAATCTGTCCAAATAAGCTGAGTCCTGACCCTGTGGTCTCAGCCACTTTATTCTTCAATGTGATTCCTAGATCCTTCTTGGGCGAGAGTCTTAAAGTTTCATATAATTTTGCTTCCAACCATGTCATAGCATATGTCCCTTCAACAGGAAATAATGTCTTTGCAATTGCTAGCTAAAGAAGGTCCAATTTTTATGAACGAGCGTCATTCATAAGCCTAAGTGTCATGGTTAATTTATTAATTCTCAACTCATTCAGGACGTAGTTGCCCTTGGTGAGTTGCGAGGTCCCCAGAGCACATCTTTAGATCTTTACTTGACTCCAGCCATTATTCTTGTCTGAGTACACTGAAGTTTTATATTTTCTATTCGGATATTTGTTCAGAAGTTAAAATATCGCCCTTTATTTTTTTCAAATTTCATGTGCTTTTTGCCAGAGACTGTAACAAAACAGGATGTTGGATACACTTCTCAGGAAGGCTTGTCCATGTTTTTACATCAATTTAATATCATTCTTAGCTTTAATTCTATAAATGAATTACAAAGGGAGACAGTATCTCCAAAGAGTGCTAAGTTGGGTGTTGTATGGCCTCTAGCAGGATGGGTAAATCGTGGTGATCTTTATTTCATGTCTCTGAGTCCCAGTCCTTTCATCCATGAAATAGAAACAATAAAGCAATGATGGGGTCACTGTGACATTAAGTGAGGTAACGCCCTGAAGGCTGAGCACATGGTCTACAAACATAATCCGACCTTCGCCCCCTGTTTCCCTCCTACAGTGTATTCAATTACAACATTCAGAGACAGTGTCTCGCCAGCACATCATCAGCAGCATCAGTGATGACGGGGTCACTGGTCCACCTATCGGCCACTGCTTTATGAAGATGTTTAGAGCTGGGGATGGCATTATCTTACAGATTAGGAATCATGTCAGAAATATTGGATTTGAATCCCGCTTTCTTTCACAGTGCATTTTAAAACCTTGAATAAACCCTTCAGACTCCAATCTAAATGAAGGCTTTATACTTTATTTATATTTATAATGCAAATGTCCTCTCTCATTCTAAAAAGCTAGTTACACACTTGCCCCGAGAAGGGTCCTGTTATCGAGAGACCCTTAGGTGTTAATTTGATCTATGCTATTTTGTAGCTATCACATGATGTATTTTGGAATAGGGATTCATTTAGGCTGTGGTATCCTGGCAACCAGGTACCCACCAAGGATATGGATGGCATTCATGCATAAATAAAGCCCAAGTAGATTCTTAAGCCTATGCTACCCTTGCTAAACAAAATTACAAATTATGCGGGACATAAATATATATTATTCTGACTGGTTTAGATATGCCAATTTAGATCTTACTCAAGCACTTCAAAATCTCTTAAACTGAGAGTAATGTTTTCAATTACAATTTTGTAAGCAAACAGAATGTTAATCAATGTGTCAGTAAACTGCCGCCCTGTCTTCTGGACTATGGAAAGCCATAAACATTTTTAAATTGAAATCCTTTCATGGAAAATAAGTCTACTTTAAGTCTCTAATTCCTTTAAAGATTTCTTGGGAGTCTCATTTCCAATTCAGACTCTCTGGGGAGCAGAGGGTCTAAGCCACTGCTATGGCTTCAATGCGTCCCTCCAAAATTCAGGTCTGGGCAGTGTGATAGTATTAAGCAGGGGGACCTTCACGAAGTGATTAGACCACGAGGGCTCCTCCCTCTGGATGGGTCCAGGGGCTCAAGGGAGGGAGTGGGTGTCTCTTGCCTTTCCACTGTCTTTAATTTTGAAGATGCATCAAGGCAGTCTTCACAAGACCAAATGCTAGTGCCTCCATCCTTCTAAACCACCTCCAGAACCAGGAGAAATAAATGTCTGTTACCGTCAAGTTATCCAGCCTCACACAGTCTGCTTTAGCAGCACAAGCGGTCTAAGACAGCCATGAGTCTCAGGCACTGAGGGAGGTTTAACTGAAACACTAACTCTGGGGAACTCAGTCGTGCCAGGCCACTGGCCCAACGTTTGTGAAGATTTACACGCTAAGGTCACACAAGAGGGTCTCTCTCCCTCTTAGTGAGCTCAAAGAAACAGGATTGCCTCTTGAAATTGTATTCAACTTGAAATTTTACATGGGATATGAGAGGCTTGTTCTCATTAAAACCCCCCTCAGCTTACAAAGCCTAATTTTTGGATAAAGAGATACACTTCTCTGTGCCAAGGTACGTAGATGTAGGTAAGGACATAGAAGTTAACTCATCCTAAGAGCCTTTGTTTCACCTCTGAAAGCAGCTGGCATTTTGGAACCCATGGCAGGAGACTTTTTTTTCTTTTGCTTAACACATAAAGCAGTTGTACACTCTATAGCCAATAGTTTATCAGAAATGACACTATATGGCACATTTGGCCAAGAAAATTAAGCTTTTCTTCTACTTCAGGAAAAAGAAAATGAAAAATAACATGGAAGCAAATTACATTTTTTAGCAGTTTTCAAAAATGCCTAAGACTGCTCTGCATTAATGCCAATCATTGTCATCTGGCTCATCACTCTCTAAGAAATAGATTTTAGAAAGAGATGTATAATTAAAGTACTATATAATATAATATTTTCCATTTTCTATATGGCAATCTTCATAAATCAGAAAAATACATGGTTTCTTTTCCTGAGTTTTGCTCAAAATGGCATAACTTATCTACTTTTGTTGGCTTTACTGCATACTCCTAACTTATCAAAAGTGTATCGTGATAAATGAGGAAAATACTTTGGGTGAGGAGGAAGGGAGGGTTTTGTGAGATGAAGCCACCTTTTATCAGAAGACTAGACCTTGCTATGAGTGTTTTACTGACAGAGATCCAGGGATCACATCTCAGCCATAAGTTAAAGCAAAGGTGGTGGAGGGGGAGCCCCAGCACCAGGGCAGGTCCCCGTTACCCTTGGACCTCATCTGAATTCTAATAGACACTCTCCCATCAGGAGTAGGAAACAACTTTAGTGACAAACTTCTCATCAGTTCTTAAATATGGGATGCCTTTTTTTTTCTTGTAGAAATATACAAGGCATATATTTTATACATAACAAATAGTTGAGTGACATAATCAACATCTCTCAGATATACACTAAAGCAACTCTGGGTCCTAGATGATGACCTCATTGCTTGAGAGGAATAGCTATTCTCTCTTTCTCTCTCTCTCTCTCTTTTTTTTTTTATTAGTTAAAACACAAGATCAATGATCTCTAAAGAAGACGTGCTGACACTGCATGGCATGTTGTATCAAGCTGCAAAGAATTCTATGTGAGCCCCTCCATGCTCTCAAAGTGCTATTGAGAAATGAGAAGAGACTTAGCACAAACGATGTCATTTTCCTAGACATTAAAAAAACCAAAAAACATTACCAAGAAAACTCTGCAGGAAGGTTTGCTTCTAAAATCATAGATGTGAAGTTATATAACCCAAAGCACTAACAGCTGACTGTACAGGGAAGATTTTCAGAGCCCAAACATGATGGTGCAGGTGTCCGGGCAGTGAAAGCCCCTGGATCTCGTGCTAACATGGGAGGAATGACCCTAGCTTGAGTAGTCCCCGCCTTCCTCACTTCACTGAGTCTGATTCTCCCACTTGCAAGTTAGAGGATCCGTGTGTTGTAGATAAGGGAGGGGCAGGCTCCTTGCTAGGAGGCAGACCGACAATTGAGATGCTTCAGGCAGAAACCACCAGGTCTGCACACAACTGCGCTGCCACACCCCCGTCCTGAGATAAGTCGGGACTGACTGGCAGGCAGCCACCAACAGCAGCCTGACTTCAATTTTTTCAATCCTGTGGAAGTTCCCACCTGCTGCTCACACTCTGTGTGAACAAAGCCTACTGGATGAAGGATTCTAAAGACCAAAGAAAAAACAGAAAAGCCACAAAAAACAAAGCAAAAAAAAAAAAAATCCCCCAAATGTTGCTTCTGATAAGTGAGGATTCAAAAACAGATTAGCAAAGGAAAGTGTGGAATCTGCTTTTCCTGGATCCAGAGTCTGGCTCTAAAAACAGGCAGGTTTCTCCACCCCACACAGGGTTCAGTGTGGGAAGACTCACCAGGATGCTTCTCCCAGACCTCCCCGTGACCCCCCAGCAGGCTCTGGGGGGTGTCAAAGTCTTAGCCTTTCGTTCATTCTTTTCAAATCCTCCCTGATGTCAGCTTCTGGAATTACAGCTCTCAAAGGAAATGTATGGGTGTGGAAGTTCCTATTTTATTAGTGCTATGAAGGGCAAAATAGTCCACACAAACTCTTGGGGGAAAAATAATCCAAGAATAAAACAGAGACAGGGCACGACATTAACAAACCAGCACTGTTTTCTCTTAAGACACATTTCTCTCGAAACAAAAAGTCTATAACAACAACTAGGGTGGCCCTCATGTGAACTGAGAATCAAATGCATTTAGAAAACACAGACTAGGTTGGAAAGAAACGTTCTCATCTGAAAAGGCACAGCACCAGGGCAGTATGGGTGAGGGTGGCCAGGAGAGCAGGGCTCCCTTGGGCGGAGTGCGGACGTGGAGGAGGCGTGCACTCACCGGACACGCAGAGATGCTCTGCTCCCACTGCGTCATGCTCAGGCTGTCCTCCAAACTGGAGCAGGTCTTCCTCACCATGTCCCAGCCGCAGTAAGGGTCCTGGGCCCCAATGCAGGCACTGCAAACACACACCAAAGGGTCAACAGAAAGGCAGCTTTACCTAGTGTGAGAGATGCCAGCCGCAGCAAGCCTGTCCCTCAGGGGTGGCCAGGGGAACCTGCCATGAGAACCAGGGCAGTGAACAGAGCATTTATTTAGTCTGTACGCTGGAGAATGTAGCTCCCTGCACACATCAGTAAGGATCGGAATCAGATTCAATCATTCAGGTAGATATTTTGAAAACTCTTTATTTCATCTAATATACAGGACAGATGACTAGATGAGCCAACGTAAACATCTTGGTATCATCAACAGAGCTAAAGTCAGAATTTTTGCAGAGCTCACAAACAATATAATTTTTATTACCAACACCATCCTCAGCCCCTTAATCACTTGTTGAATATCTACTGTAGTAGTAACTAGGATGCGAGCCATCGTATCATTCATCAAACAGTTCACTAGGCAGGTTCTAGTATTTTCATTATAGATGTGGATATTTTATTTCAGCTTTGGCTACATGAAAGGGCTCAAATATAACACGAGCATTTTTAGATGAAGTCCCTGTCACCTCAGGAGAACTTTTTGATATGTGACCACATACATGTCCTATGCCACTTTTAGTCAACAATTCAAAGAGACAGATATAAAGGACGAGGTGAAAGCTTTTCTTCCCCAGAAGTGGGTAACGTTACACTAGCTTATTCTGGAGATGTTGTCTCCATACATAGAAGCATGCTTGTGAGTGTGGGCACACACACGCACACACACACACACACACATATGCAGTCTAAAAGTTGACTTATTCAAGGGACTCTAACGACCTGGTCAACATAAAGACCTAGGCCTACTGTATGGATATGTACATGTGGTACATATCTGATCTATGAAAATTAGGTCAACGTAAGGAGGGGTCAGTGTAGGTGGAGGCAGCTGTGGAGGTTCTCCTGTCTGTACATAGTCTGCGTGTGGTTGTTTATATGTAATTGTATGACTGATGACATTACATATCGCCTATGACTGTAATACATGGGAAGGTGATTGTACAAAGTACACACTGCTTCACAGGCCCCTCTACACCTAATAGCACACAACTACAGGCACTACTCTTCTCCATAAATAAGCTCTATCTTATTCTTTTTTTATTCTCTCAGTTTATTATTAACAAATAAATCATCATCTAACACTTCGATGTATATAAGATAAACATTTATCTTTATGTTAGAATGACATCAATTCACTCTTTGATAGAAAGCATCAATTATGTTTAAACTTAAAACCCCTAAGGTAAGTACAGTCTAAAGTCTGGTAGGCTAATGCCCCTGGCCTTGTTTCTTTTCTTTTTTTTTTTATTGTTGGGGATTCAACTGCTACATTGATTGCATTTGCTAGGTAAAGTATCTTATTCTTTAGCTATATAATGCTCCATGTTCTTGATGCACCAAAATTTATTTAAATGTCTTCTTTAAAAGCAAAGTGCAATGCTCATTTTTACATAGGTTTTCTACATGAGAAAATGTAAGTGGAATGATGAGTTAAAAGTTATGGATATTATTGACTCCCAGTTCACACTGGATGCTACCTTTGCTACCATTGCTACCATTTTTGTATTTTTTAATGTGCACCTGAAAAAACAGAATTTACTAGTCAATTCCCCTTTCCCCCCTGCTCTGCCCTTCCCTTCTCCTTCTCTTCCTTCTTTCTACCTTCCCTCCCTCCCTCTATCCCTCCTTCCCTTCCTTCCTTCATTTTAGTTTAGACATAAGGTCTCATTCTGTCACCCAGGTGGGAGTCCTGTGCTCACTGAAACCTTAAACTCATGGACTTAAGTGGTCCTCTTGCCTCAGCCTCCTGAGTTGTTGGGACAACAGGTGCATGCCACCACTCCTGGCTATCCTCATTTCTGTAGAGATGGAAGCATTCTTGAAGCATTTCTTGCTATATTGCCCAGGCTGGTCTTGAACTCCCGACCTCCAGTGATCTATTCATTCAGCCCTATTTTTGCTGGATCTGTGCCTTTATATTGTGGGTTGGATTGCAACTTGGCATGACTGTGTGCATCTTTTATCATTTGTATTTTCTTTTGTGTAAACTTTCCATCCATGTCCAATTCCTGCTTTGGTACCTTTTATGGGCCATTGGTTTCTTTTTAATAAGGTCATTAGAAGGGGATATTTTTATATTAAAATTTAGCCCATTGCTCTTGTCTCTTGCCCTCTTATAATAGAAACTTCTCTGAAGATGACAGATGAATGGCCAACATATACATGAAAAAATGCTATTCATCTCTAATCATTAGAGAAATGCAAATCAAAACCACTTTGAGACATCCCCTAACTCCAGTGTGATTACCCCACATCACAAAGTCCCAGATCTGCAGATGCTGGTGTGGTTGTGGAAAGAGGAGGAACTTGTCTACACTGCTGGTGGGTTTGCAAACAAATACAAACTTTATGGAAAGAAGTATGGAGAATTCTTAAACAACTAAAATTCTACCTTCCAGTTAATCCTGCAATTCCATTACTAGGTATCTACCCAGAAGAACAAAAATCATTTTACCACAAAGACATTTACACCAGAATGTTTATGGCAGCTCAATTCACAATTGCCAATTTGTAGAAGCCACCCATGTGCCCATCAACCCATGAATGAATTAACAAACTGTGGTATATGTATGTACACCATGGAGTACTATGGAGCCATAAGAAAAGATGGAAACTTTACTTCTTTTATGTTTACCTGGAATTGAAACACATTTTTCTTAGTAAAATATCTAAAGAATAGAAAAAAATTATCCAATGTACTCAATACTAATATGAAACTAATATATCGACAACCACATGCCCACAGGAATGATGAAATATAAACAAAGTCCAGCAAGGAAGAGGGGAGAGGAGGAAGAGGAAGGGCACTTGGTGGGATCTCACCTAACGTGTTCAGCATGCCCCCGGGGGAAGGGCTCAGCTACAGGTTGAACCTTATGTTATCACTGAAAACAATGTAACCTGAAAATTTGTTATATGAAAGCTATAACCAAATAGCCTAAGAATATGGGGGGGGGAGGGAGAAGGGAAGGGGGAATGGGTGGAGGGAGGGGGTTTGGAGGGATAACTTCTGAGGTTTATCTTATAGGGGTACAGGTGAATCTTTCTAAGAGTAGAATGTAAACATTTTAAAGCAATAACTGAGAAAATGACATGAAGGCTGTGTTGACCAGTTTGATGGAAGTATTTCAGATCGCATGTGAAAACCCTGCACTGTACCCCACAAGTGCATTAATGTACATAGTTACCATTCAATAAAAAAAAAAAGAAAATTTGTACCATCATATTAATTTGAAATAAAAAATAGCCCATTATGAGTAATATTTTTCTTGCTTGACATTAAATCCTTTTTTGAAATACAACTGTGTTATAAGATTTTATGCAGCAAAATTTATAAATATTTGCCTTTATATCATCTAGGTTTTATCCCACGTTAAGAAAGATCTTTCGTACTTAAAGATCATAGAAGCATTTACCCTGATTTCTATCAAGACTCTTATCATATTTTTTCATTGGTCTCCCTATCGTGAATCTACTTGAAAGGCATTTTCATAACTCTCCTTTCTTCTCTTTCTCAAAAAAAATTTGAAAGTCATTTGCACATACCTATTTTAAAATCTAAACTTCTCAGCCTTCACACTAACACAGACCCAAGTGTCGGGGGTAAGAACGAGGGGAGTGAGGATGCTTTCTTTTTCCTTTTCCTATTAAATTCAGAACACACCTTTTACAAATGCAAGTTTACAAGAGAGTGAGCATCAGCTTTTTAAAATCTCTAGTTTGGGGAATGTAATTGCTAATAATTTACTATTTTAAATAGAAATCCCTTTCAATAATCAGTTCCATTGAATGGAATTTGACTTGTCTTTCTATCACACAAAACACATACAACGTTTCTCCATTTTCAGACATACAATTGATTTTCTTTTTGGCAGGGATTAGGAAGATGAAAATAAACTATCACAGCCAATGACGGAGTGAGCCAGTAAAAAGTGCGTATTTTTGTATCTACTAAGGAAGGTCAGAGGTTGACCAGTTCTTTCTGAGTGACTCTGCACATGCAGCACTGTTCTGTAGAATAATACCCAGAAGTTTCTGAAAACCTGGAGACACTTCAAATGGACTTATGAGTCAGCCCTGGACAAGGTGAGCACTCAGGGCCTTTCTGTTTCCTGCTGCCAACTCTTCTGGCCTTGCCGATGAGACTGGACCCCAGACTGTCCCTGTCCTACTGAGCTAGCCAAAGGCACACCTTCATGTTTGTGACTCTCATGGTGAAACCAGGGAGTCATTTCTTACTGATGAGATGACATGGAGAAGATCAGATATCTGAATTCTCTGTATATGACCCATTTTCACATTGGTGGCTCAAAGCTCCTCACGAGAGAATCATTCCAAGGCCTGACTTCCTTTTCATGTTTCTTATTAAAGCAACCTGGTTATTAGGTGAAATTAAATTTCCAAATAAGGAAAAATTCCACAAACTCCCTTACTTTACTCTAAGCTTCCCCTACAAAGCTACCCGGAGACCTAAAACAATGCCACAGTGTTAGAGGGAGGTATTTTAAGCTGTTTTAAATGAAAAGTTGCCTGTAATAACATCTCTTCTTTCCCATAATGCCAGTGGTTCTGGATGTTCTTAACATTCCACTTATGCTGTAAAATATTAAAACTTCTACACAAAAACAAACACCCATTCAATAAAGATACCATGTGTATACACGTACGATTTTCTCATGCACAATACTATACACCCTGGGCAAAAATTCTGGAAACTCCACCTTTATTTTATATTATACTCTAAGAAACATGATTAGCACATGCTATTATTTTTGGATGTTGCTCTCCTAAAGACAGTATGTAGTAAATCCTGGGTTTCTAAGTAAGTAGTTATGAAAAGTGGCTTTTCTTAATTCCACTTTGAATATTTCTTTTTGAGATAGAGTCTGTGTGGCCTCCTCCCGAGCCTGGATCTCCGTCCCTCTTGTCTGGATAGATACACTTTCATGGGAGAAAGGGAACTACCCAACGTCCACCCACAGAGGCTCCCCTGACCACTGAGGTCATGCTGACATCACTCCCCCACACTGACCGCTGAGGTCACACTGACGTCACTCCCCCACACCGACCGCCGAGGTCACACTGACGTCACTTCCCCACACCGACCGCTGAGGTCACGCTGACGTCACTGCCCCACACTGACCACTGAGATCACACTGATGTCACTGCCCCACACCGACCGCTGAGGTCACGCTGACATCACTCCCCCAGGCATACAATACGCTCATGACAGGGTCTCAACAACCATCTGTAACTTATTTGCCTAGACAGACAAGAGTCAGGTGAACGATGATGTTATGCAAAAAGCAGGGTCCAGCCTGACGAGCCCAGTACACATTGGAGGCTCGGAGGTGCCAAAGCAGCAAATTCTTGGCAGGTCAGCTTGCTTCATTTGGGCCAGAGGCAAGCGAGGCACAGCTGGGCGGAGGGCAAAGCCACACGCGGAGGAGCAGTTTGCTTTTTATCTTTTCTTTTTTGTTAGTTTATGTGTTTTTGATTTTGACTTACATCTAGGACAGAAAGAGATTCTGAAGCTCAGCGTTCAACATACTGTGCAGTGAGTCAAAAAGACTGTTCACAGGCCAGGCTGCTCAGAAGGACCTGTAGGCCTGACTCTAATACTCAAGCCGGGGAGGGCAGGGAGGATCCGTCTTAGTTAAGTTCCTGCAGACCCACTGCATAACCTCTCTCGGTCTCTGGTTGTCCACTAACATGGACCACACAGCCACGGAAAGAGATTCAGAGAAGCCAAGGGATTGATTCACTCATACTTCACACTCTGAGCCAAAGGCTCATCCCAAGCCCAGGCTCTTCCCAGATGGGAGCTGTCTGGTAGACAAATGGGAATTCACTTGACTATGTGGTGGTTAAAAACATCTCAGGGTTTGCATAGACACCTGTGGCTGGGGCAACTCTGGTGCCAGGCCCTGGTGCAGGAGACCTGCCTCAGCCCATGCTTTCCCACAGAGTTCTTCATGGAGCTTGAGATCTCGGAGCTCAAATACAGGAGGCCGGTGAGCAACTGTTAAATAACGAAACATTTCCATTTGAGCTGTTTTAGTTGTGATGCTCAACTGAAGCACAAAGGCTAGTACCTGTTTAAAAGATAGATTTCCATTCTGAGTTCGAGAATACATTCGCTCAGGAAACCAAATGGTTTCCTGCGTGGACACTTCCCACCATGCCTGGGGTTGGGGCTGTCACCTTGTAACAGCACTGGAAGACAGCACCATCACGCTGAGCCCCCCTGTCTAGGCTGTCACCTTATAACAGCACTGGAAGACAGCACCATCTCGCCCCCTCTGTGTAGGCTGTCACCTTGTAACAGCACTGGAAGACAGCACCATCTCCCCGGAGCCCCCCTGTCTAGGCTGTCACCTTGTAACAGCACTGGAAGACAGCACCATCTCACCTGAGCCCCCCTGTCTAGGCTGTCACCTT